AAGTAATCGGTAATTAGTTACTGATTACTTTTTTCAAGTAACTTGACCAACACTGCTTGTCACACATGTGCATTTTAGGCCTCTGAAGGTTCTTAACTATATAAGAAATTATGAGGCCATCATAGTCCATAAAAAGGAGTTAAAAAAACATGTTAAAAAACAAAGAAATCTGCATGTGAGCATCTATATGGCTCACTAATAACATTTTATGTTTTATATTTTTTAAAGTCAGGACTCACAGAAATCCTGGCCCAAATAAAGTACTGCACTGAAAACCCCAAACTGTGCTATGATATAGAAATGAGATATACTGTGTTACATCACGGGTTTGAGCATATACCAGCTGTGTACAACTTGGACAGTCTATTGCAGGGCTAACAGAGAGAGGCAGGCAACCGTTCACAATCACATTGACACCCAGGGCCAATTTAGAATTGCCAGTTAACCTAATCCATGCACGTCTCTGGACTGTGGGACGACCCAGAGTAGCTGCAGAGAACATGCAAACTCCACTGTGCTGCTCACAAAACATGTTTAAATTTCACTACGTCACCCTAACACTGATTACTACACTGCAAGAAGACAAAAGATGATGCAGTAACTAGCTCACTAGTTGCTAACACAGTACAAAATCTGAGATTGAAAACTGAAATCAATGTGAATGTGTGCCAAAAACTTCAGTTTCTCAAATGGCCATGTGAAAATGGCTCCAAATAGTCCCATATTGCAGTTTTTGACACTTTAATGGATTCATCTTGAGTTATCTGGTCTCTGGAGCAAGTCTAAATGAATGGACACTACATTTGTGTTCTGAGAGCTGTCTGTGAACATACCCAGGGAGATAAGACTTGCAGGTTTGGTAACCAAAGTCTTTTCCATCGCACTCCTCTATTCCTTCATGCCTGTAGCCATCTCCACAGTAGGCCCACTTACAGTCTGTCACAAGGGAAAGGAGGTGAGAGGCAGCAGGAGGCAGAGGAGGGTAGGGAGAGAGAAGACATTACTAATTTCTTTGGCACTGCAGTCTGCTTCAGTAATGCCAATACAGCATTTTCTTGCTAATTTAATTGAACAGAAGCAGAGAGTAGGGAGAGGATGGCAGCAGAAAAAAGAGGGGGGTTGAGATTAATGAAAGATCAAGGAAAGGTCTCACAGTGCTTACTAGCTTTCATCCTATGCCATGTGGGATCAGACTCTGTGGTGTACTGAAGTTATGCTCTACAGGGTACCTCATCAGCAGCAAAACCAATCTACTTTACAGTTGGAGACTTTCTTTTTTTAAATTTAGACAAATGAAAAGCAGTTTCGTCTAAATTCACATAAGCTGGATATTTGTAAGAGATAAAGAAACATAAGCAAAGTGGGACATCTTGCATTATATGAGTTTTCAACCTCTACAGGCTATTTCTGCAGGTGTGCGAGTTAACAAAGCAAACACGGAACTCACTGAGGCAAGAATCTGTGACAATCTGGTTTCCATCATCACACTCCTCTCCGTGCTGGGCTTGCACCTTTCCATCTCCACACACGCCAACTCTGTCTGGGACTTTCTCAGTAGACTGGTATGGCTGGAAGGGCTAGAAAAATTGAAAGAACAAGCTCCAACTTCCTCTGAGTCTAGTGGTTTGCATGTAAGATATCAAAGCATTGAGGCTAAAGTTGCAGTTTATTTTCTGGAAAGCTTTTGTGTACCATCTACAAAAAAAACCCCACTTTCTTCTAGCGCTTTCGGCCTCATACCGTTGCCTTCATCAGTACATATAGTCATACAGTTGACTTGCTGCTCAGTGCTGCAAATGCTTTGAAATTACCTGTATGGGCTTCCATCCATCTTTGTCGTTAAAATAAAGCATCCTCTGATCCTTCCTGAATGCTATTGCATTCTCTTGTTGTAGATGGTCCATCTCCTCCTCACTGTTTACCACAAATATCTTGTGGTGAATATGAAACACATGCACACACACACACACACACACACACATTGATCAGTGAAAGCATGCCGATTTAAATACTCAATAACAGTATTGTGACAGGATGTGGTTTTACCGCTGTGACTTTATTTCCACTCCGCCGCTGTGTGTAACTTCCAAAAGGAGCATTATTTGGTCCGAGAGCACCTTCACAGTTACAGTGACCCGGTGGACCAGGAAGACCCTTATCCCCCTTTTCCCCTACTAGATAGAGACCTATAAGAAACACAGAGTTTACAAAAATAAACTTGGATAACACACAAGCAGCCGGTGGGATACTGCTTCTGATTGTGTCATGTCTGTGAGCTACTATACCTGATGCAGGAGGACCAGGTGGCCCAGGGTGGCCAGTAGGACCTGGAGGTCCGGGAGGGCCCATCAATCCAGTGGCCCCAGTCTGGCCCTTCATACCCTGTGCAAATTATAAAATACCAGAAAGTAGATTACAGTGCTAATCAATGGGAACAGCATCAGTGAGTGTGTGTGTGAGGTAAAAGACCCCACTTCACTGGCTATATTTTCCAAAACTGTTTTAAGAACGTTTATTTTTTTCACCTGTTTGCCTCTCTTCCCCGGACGCCCAGTTGGTCCTCTCTTCCCTGATGTTCCTGGCTCTCCCTTTGGTCCTTTCTCGCCCTTTGAGAGAAGCAAAATTGAGGAATAACTGGATAAAAAGCAAATCTTTAATTTTCTTAAGTCTTTATTTACTCTTACCTTCTGTCCAAGCATCCCAGGCAAACCAATTGAACCCTGTTCAGAGACAGAATGGGAGCTTGTTGTGAGAACACTGACTTTATCATAACATGTATATGAAATACTTAACAGTAATTTATTTGGGCTCTGAAACAGCCAAACTAAGAAAAAGGTCTGAAATCATTTTAATTTTAAATTTAAAAAAAAAAAAAGGAGTGTATCAAACCTTATCGCCTTTTAGGCCTACTGGTCCAGGATCGCCTCGAACTCCCTTATAAAAAAAGAATTGGGACGAGGGAAGAAAGAGAAAATGTGTATATGACACTTTTTTAGTAAGAGCAGTTAGTTAGAGGATGTGACACAGAACTTGCCTTCTCCCCTTTGTAACCACGTAAACCCTGAAAAGACAGAGTAAGAGACAAGAGTACATCAGAGAGAGAAGGCTTAATAAGAATCAAACAGGTAGTCCTGTAAACATGCCACTAACCTTTATTCCAGGTGGTCCCCTCAGTCCTGGTAATCCCATGAGTCCGGGGTCCCCTTTCTCACCCTTAGAAAAAATACAACTAGATGTATTTCTGGTGTCAGGAGTAAAAAACAAAGTGTACCCAAAAAGGTGTCTGTGCCTGGAGGGAGAGTCATGACACTTACCTTGGGCCCCTGTGGGCCAGGCCATCCTGGAAGTCCTTGTTTGCCTGGCAGCCCTGGAGCTCCAGTACGGCCCTACAAAAACATCAATACCAGTAACAGTTTCTCTGCCTGCTTTAGTAAAAGTGATGTGAACACAAAAAGCTGCTCGTCTACTCTGAAACTGCACGAAGAATTTTGCTGCAAACTCATTTAGAGTCCGACCTCCAACTCAGACTTAGCTCTAGAAGCACTGCTAATTACTGGACAGGAATGAAAGCCTAATCGATCTGGGTTCTGGGTAAAAGAGCCAAACATGATAGACAACAGCCGAACATCTCCGTGACACCCGGACAAGCATTGCAGAGCTGCTGCCATGCTAAGCAATGTGCTTTCATTTAACTGCCTTTCATTAAAACCGCAGCCCGTAGAGACTCTACCGACCTGCTGTGTGTATGTGTGTGTGTGTGTGGAGTGATTTATCACGAAGAGCAAAGGCACTTAGAGTGATTAAAGTGCAGAAGTAGAGTGCTGGAGAGGCTGGATCAGCAGGACTAGAGTTTGGTACGAGAGCTACTGGAGCAAGGCCAAGGAAAAAGAAATACGGAGAGAGGAAGCCGGAGCAGAGGAGAAAAAAGGAACAGCAAAGTGAGGGGACAACTAGGGATCAAAGTTTGCTGCAGGCCGAGCATCTTCTGGGACTAAAGCAGCGGGACCCATTTAGCAGCTGCAGAGGATATTCTGAGCACATCAATAGACAAATCACATCACAGAGCTCCAGGATGCATCCAGGGGGGAGAATAGAGGCAGACAGTGGGGAAAATCCTGATCCCATTATACCAAGGACAAGATGACGAGATGGACCGGAGAGAGCTGAGGAGCACAAGATGTGCAGGAGAGGATGAGCAGCTCACCTTTAACCCTGGACGTCCAATTTCTCCCTGGAGGAGGACAAATGGAGGGGCAGGAGAAGAGCACAAGGACACACACAAACACAAATGCTTTTACAGAAAACTGCATTAGAGACACAATTCACTCACCCCCACCCCTCAAACAAAACCCTCAAAACACACACACACACACACCTTCTCTCCCTTTGGTCCTCTTATGCCGGGCAATCCACTATGACCCTGAAAAAAGTCACCAGATTTATATAAATCTCACATATCCCATAATGAGCATGGTACTTTTGTAGAAAAATCAATACTAAAAAGGTTTGCGCTTGTTTAACAATATGTCCACCTGCTGTCTTAGAATGGTTTTGCTGTCAGATGGATGCTCTGTGGCTAAATCAGGCTGAATTGCTTTTAGAGAATGATTTTGTGCAGAAGCCTATTTATTTATTTATTTTGAAGTAAAGCCTTACCTCTGGGCCAGACGGACCTGGAGGTCCCGGAGGTCCAGGCGGACATTCTGGTATCACAGGCTTTGGTTTTATCTGCACCTCCCCTCCGAAAACACTCGGCTCCAACAGGCTGTTGCTGTCCTTCATTCGATCAGTAAACACACAATCAGAGAGAAAGTTCTTTTTAAGTCAGTGGCCTACATCGGGCAGGTAGGGGAGGCTGTATAGAAACAGGTGTGTTTGTCAAGACGTACAGGGCCGCCCCTCTTCCAAAGCTGAGGCGGAGGAGGGAAGAGTGGTGGTGGAGGAGGTGACATGAGACAACAGGGGTCAAACCTCATTGGCTCGGCCAGGAACCTGAAGGCTGAGAGGAGAAAAGAGAGCAGTGCGCATCAGATGGAGTGGAACATGCACACACACACACACAAAGCTGGACTTACCTGAGCGGGCTGAGAGGATGCTGTCCATATAGGAGTGATGAGATGAGGCCCACGCAGGAGACAGAAGGATGAGAAAGGTAACTGCAATAATCTCCAGGTCCATGCTGCTGGGTTACTTTTCCTAAAACGCACACAGGGCAGCCGGTTATACACACAGTACACTCTATTTCTGTTCCCTGAGCTTACTGCAGTAGTTGGCACCTGTCACTTTTCCTTATTCCCTTTTGAGGGTGTCACTATTTCCTCACTTCAGTCCACTACGGCCTCTCTCTCTCCTTATAGCATCATAAACTTGTTGCAGCTCCACACTGCAGCAGATTTAAACACCGCTGTAATTCCAGCCATGCACCACCACTACCACCATCACCTACCCACCCTCTGTGCCAGAATTAGACAGAGGGGAGGCCACTGCTGGTCAACAATAGTAAGATTCATTCACACAAACCATTTTAACACGCTCACACTGCATGCGGTCAATGCAGGTCAATAACAGGAGGGAGAGAGAGAGAGAGAAAGAGGGTGGCTTTGCATAAAGATGCTGATAAAGGCTCACGTGTCACTCCATATCACATCGTCACTGGCGCTCACTTCTTCTTCTCGCAGCCTATTGATTAAACAGTACATGCTGTCGAAACGACACCACAGCCCTAAACCACTAATAAATATCATTCCGTGGATTTCATTTGCGCGATCTCTTTACCTTCAGCTCGAAATTGCGCTGCACTTGTTGTAGACACGCCGTCTGGCGCTCCTTTCGTCTAAATGAGATGCGCGCTGTGCAGTCCCGAGGACTGTGGCTCCTCTGACATTTGTGTAGCCAATCTGGAGAGCTAATAAATCCGATCCACTTATCGACCCGCTTCTTCACCGCCGGTCAATAACAACACAATTGCAGCTCAGAGGACGGTTTGTTTTTCTCTTGGCGCTCCTCAGAGCCCATCAGAGAGAGAAGCCACTGAGTGGAGCAGACACGGCGGTGGGACCATATACTGTTGTGTCATCTGGATCGGGTTCAGGACAGCTGGCCGCATAACGCAATTTAAGTTTGCGCGTGCCTGCACTGGCCTGGCACGTTCTGCGTCTTCAGTGGTGAGCTCTTTATTGGAGTAATGGCGCCCTCTGCTGGATACCTTTGTCCGTTTAATAAAATAAAATAAAATAAAATAAAATAAAATAAAATAAAGTTTCACTAACAGCTGATTGATCGAGCCTGTTGGTGATAATTGTTTGTAACGTGGATTTTGTCTTTATCTTTTTACCAATTAACACTTTGAATAAAATAAGACGCAATGCTGCTTCGGATACTGCAGGAAATATGTTATGTGTTAATAAAAACTTTTATTTGGATGCTTTTTTTTATTTGGATGCCAGACACGAGTAAGCAACTCGTGTCTGGCTGCACTTCATCCACCCTGCCAGATGTGAAAGCAAGCTCAAAGATTACAAAGGAAAATAGACAGCTAGACAAATAGGGCCTGGTGCAAGACACTTTACCAGCCTTGCAATCTGTTAGAGCAGGTGCTCGGTGCCTGTCTAGTAAGTGGTGGAGCGGGTGGCCAAGATTTTCCATAATGGATAGCAGATAGTTCAATGATCTCCTCACCACCACATCTTCAAAAGTGTCCAATTTGCAGTCAATCACAGAGCCAGCCTTTGTGATTAGTATATCCAGTCATTTGGTGTCACTAGCTCTGAGGCTGCTCCCCCAGTAAGGTACACCATACTCACCACAACTGACTGATAGAAAATCTCTCATTTTTTGCTGCACCCAGTGAAGTATGTAAACTTCCTTAGGAATAGATCCTGATTATCCATTGCCTGTGGGGGTGGTTGTCTGATCCACATAGTTTGGAAGGAGAAAGGAGAAAAGGGCAAAATCACTGATAGTAATCAGGATGTGCAGTGATAATGAGCAGTGTGTGATGGAGGAGCCAGCAGAGGACTGCTGGAGGATAGACACCTGCTGGACAAACTTCACTCATTTGCTCTCTCCGCTCACTTTTATCCGTCTGTAATCTTAAACCCAGAGGATTCAGGATAGCTGTTGGTAGGTTTAAATTTCACATCCAATGCACACCGTCTTCTGATTTGCAAAGTAATTTGTCCTTCAAAAATATATGCTCTATGAATATATTATTAGTCTCTCAATCTAAATTTTTGTCTGCTAGAATCCTAGTGCTGTGTGGTGAAGCCAAACATATTAAAAACAAAGCAGTGCTTCAAGAAAATAAATGGCAACCTTAAAAAATCACACCAGCTGTGTTTTTATGCAAGAATTTAATATAAGATTAACTAAACACTACAAGGTCAAAGTCAATGGTGTTTGGCAAATGTAAAATAGCATGCTAACTCAGTATAAAGAATGAGGCCTGTTAAATTAATCTAAGCACTTTACATTGTTCCTTATTCTCTTATCTTTTTAAAAATACAACAGCAATCTATTTGTTGACCATGCTATCCATAAAAAAACAAAGAACAGAAACAAAAACAGAAATGAATTCAGTGAAAGTGAAGAGCAGCACTGTAATGATCGAAGTCTGTAACACCCAGTGGTTTGAAAAGATGATTAAAAACCTCTTACACAAAGCCTGCCCAAATTGATACATCTAAGCAGAAAACACTTTTGAACAGTGAACGTTAACAGAAAACAAAGTTCTAACAATGTTCCACACAAGCATCGATCAGCAGTAGTTTATGTGCCTCATAAGCTTCTTTTAAATAGTCTATAATATCCTTTCTCTCTTTTTTCTTTCTGATGCCACTGAAGATCATCTTGGTGCCTGGAATGTACTTTTTTGGATTTTCTAGGTAAACATTCAGAGTGTCTTAACCCCATACAATATCTAAAAAAGAAAACACAATAATTAAATTAATTCTTTGAGATTAAAAAAAATTATGTCTCCACAATTCTGCCTTCTTAAGTATGTAATATGTGCGTTTAACTTGTATCACCTCATCTCAGAGCAGAGCTGTGAATCAGAGAAGAATGCTGGCTACTGTGCTACCTGTTCAGGCCTGCTGCTCTGGCCATCAGGTATGGGAAACATATCCTTTCTTAATATTATAGCAGAAATATACACACTACTGAGCACTGCAAGGGGAAACTCCCATAAATTCCAGTACAGAAGAGTTAAAATGCAGATTACAATTCACATTCAAAGCTCTACTGAAATTTATACGATTATGAAGGTTTGTTCTGTCAGGATGTTGAATATGAAAACGAGGAAGACTGCGGAGGAGATTTGTGGATGTAGTGAGGACATGCAGGGGGATGGCATAAATGAAAAGGATGCTGAGGGATAGAATGAGATGGAGGCAGATGATTTACTGTAGCGACCCCTAAAGGGAGCAGCTGAAAGATGAAGAAATAGTTCTTAGAGGATAGATTGATTATGATTGACTTTTTCACAGAAGAAGCTAGTACTGGCTTATTCACTCCGCTTTGATTTTCCACCAATCTGATTTGCATCTTTTCATATAAAAAAGACTCTGACACAAAGCTTCACAAAGCTGAGATGCATGGAGATCAATCTGTCAGTCTAACCATGATGAGTTCTGCACAGCAATGGTACCTGTATCAATGTTGGCCTGTGTATAGGAGTAGCCAGGTGCTTGCCCTGTCTGTCTTCCAAACAGTCCCCAGAGGTTGGGCCCCACCTTGTGGCGCTCCCCCTTTCCCACTGTGCGGCACTGGGAGCATTTCTGCACAAATACTTTCTTTCCTTTCTTGACACCCCCCATCAACAGTGGCTGGGAGGAGACACAAGCGAAGTGTGCAACCTGGAATGAGTCACACCCAAACTAGTAACATATGAAGTGAGTGGAAATATACTACACAAATATTTACATGTAACAGTAGCCCAGAGTCAAAAAATTACTCACCTCAACTACTCAACTTCCAGGCTGTTCATGCACAAGTTATGAAATGTTGATCAAGATGTTCTGGGAACAAAAACATGAAAAAAAAAAAAAAAAACAACAAAAAAAAAGTTTAAAAGAAAAAATAAATAAAATAGTTTATTACAGAGCAGGAAGATTGACTCGCTTTTGCTAAAAAGTCAAAGTGAGAAAAGATTTATGCCATCATTTATCCCCCCAAAAAACACATAAAAAAGAAACAAATGAACAGTTAACAAACAAAAGGGAAAACTTGCAGATATTGGACTGTGGCTGAAATACCTCTGGACAGAAGTTCAGTGTTTAGCTTCAACTTCAGCGTTGCGCCGGATAGTTTGAAGCTCAGAAAGTAAGATCTCAAATTTATAATGGGGGTGGTTGAGTACGCAGTGGTTCAGTAGGACATTCATTCGGTACAATGATTGGCCACTAGAGGGAGACCAACACACAGCCAAGGTGGTCACATTTTCCCTCAGTCTGGAGTAACAAAACCAGTGTCACCATTTTCAGAATCATTCCAGTGAATCAAGAAAGGTGTGAATGTATGTTTAACCGGTGGATGACATAAAGAGTTTTATCTAACAAAGCGATAGTGCCCGTAGTACAGGATGCACAGTACTAAGGAAACAGTGGGAGTGTGGGAGTTTTCTGTGTGCTTAATGTTTTGTGTGTTAACTTCCCTGCTTTACTCTGTATTACTAACAGTAATGCAATGCAATTGTCTGCTCGGACTTAAGAAATTACATTAATTGAATAAAGATTTTAAAGAAACACAACTGCCTTGCTTTAATGTGGACTTCCTTCCCTATAAGCCTTCTGTTTTGTAAGATAACTCTTTAAAGTGTTAGAGATAGACTTACAAAGTATAAATTTTCCTTTTGATAAACACCTCTATGAAATCTATTTTTACAGTGATCCCCACTTGCAGTTTGAAGGTTCGTCTGCAGGTTAAAATGCATTTGTCACCATTATGCAACCATAATGGATTTATAAACACAGCTCCTTATTTTCATCTGTTAAAAACCACACTGTCCAGGCCAGCCAACAGATTTTTTTATTTGTTGTGTTATCCAGCTAAGGCTCTAATGCAAAGGATGTAAAACTGGCTCCAGGATAGCCATACTTTATTTAATGCTATTGCAAATTATGTATATTTACTCTTTCTCAAAGTATTTTCTATTTCACATCTGCATCTACAACCAGCTTAGAAAGCAGTTAACCCCACACATACACTGAATCCAGAGGAAAACCCAACAAAGCCCCCGAGAAGGTTTGAATTCTTGCAGTGAGGTGACAGCGCTAACCTCCACATCAACCTAGCCACTGATATACGAAACACTGAATACAAAATGTCAGAAAGATTTTTTTAAAACTATCTCATGATATTGCACCAATCACCAGTATTCTAACCTCTTTGGCCGTCGAAACAGTATATATTACCCTAATATACCCCCACTACTGACAGAGTATGCACATATATAGTTGGTGGTTTCCAGGACACGAGGAGTTTATTTACACGCCACTATAGGAAGACAAGGAAGCATCTTTATTAAATATATATTTACTGGAATTATTATGAAAAAAGTGAATTAATTTTCAAACTAGAGGCTGAGCAGAAAGATCACAGTGGGCACTTTGATTGGGTTTTTGTCTCCCCCTTGTGGTTAATCACTGAACTGCAGGTTCACATGCCGTAAAGTTGCTCCTGTATTGGCAGGGTTTCAGTGGATGCCGGGTGCTAACATAGTTAACTGCAAGGTTAAAAAAAATTTCAACAATAAAATGATTTCTCCAAAGAAGTACTGAAAAGCAAAACTGATGAAAACAAGTTAAACAATGTCTGAGATAATCACAGCATTAGCTGGAGGAATGGACCACCATCACAGGATATTAATGTTTGTGTAAATCAGTTTTATTCCCAATGGCACAGCCCACTGACACTCCTTTGGATCAGGACGGAACAGTTTGTGATTGCAGGGCTGAGGTTTAAACATTGCTCATGCTGTGCAAAGTCAAGACAGATGTAAGAGAAAAATTTCTGTAACTCAGTATGAAATATGAAAATTTGCTTTACATCACAATATGTGTAACTTTATTTAAAGAGACATACAAGATTTTCCTCAAATGTTTCACTTTAAGCTCTTGTCTATACACTAAAATAAATAAATGTTGATATTTACACC